CGAGACTTGGCTAAAGCAGGCCACCAATGTACATCTGTGGGAGAAGAAATAGGTTAGCGGAGGGATGTCTGAGGTGTTACTTAAATGAATAAGTGGAATAAATGCATTCTTAAATGAAAATTTTATTTTAGGATAGTTTATATATTAAAATTTATTTGAGCTCTAGAGTCACCAAAAAATGATGATACCGAAAATCCTCATTTAACCTTTTATTAGTGGTACATTTGTCACAATTAATGAAGCAGTATTGACACAATATCATCATCATCATTATCATTATTAGCCTTTTCAGGACAGGATTTCTCAGTGTGTATTCCTGGAACTGACTCTGTAGACTAGTTTGACCTTGAACTCAGAGATCCTTCAACCTTAACCTCTGGCAAAAACAAATATGTCTAATATGTTTTTCCCCAACTTTTATATCAAAACATCTTTAAATCAAAACAACACTGACCATTTTGTTAGGTTGCAAAATACCGAGCCAGGTACATTCTGTCTTTACAAAGCTAAAAGGTGGTAAACATAGGCATACATCTTCAAGAACAACAATATTCTTCAAAACTTAACAAAGCATATTTACAGAAACGGGTAAATTGCCTCCGAGCCTGTCAGCACTGAATCAGGACAGTTCTCAGGGTCTGGAGTGACAGCTGGCATCCCCAAAGAGAAACTTGAGAAGGATAAGCACCCAATGAATTTTAAGGGAAAATAATTGAGAAAAAATGGGGTTTCTGGGAATGATCATATTTGTCCCATATATGACTGACAATGTGACATTAAAAACCTCTAAGAGAATCATCAATAATACGAGAGAGAAGAGAGTGTGCAGGCTGCGTGGTCCCAGCAGTACTCTGCAATGTCCCCAAGTCCACTGGTCCTTGCCGAGTGAGACTGTCCCCATGGGCTCACTTGGAGACCTGTTGGACGAGCACTCACATACTGGTCTGAAATTAGGCCATACAAGAGTGCCTTCCTTCCTTCGTTCCTTCCTTCCTTCCATTCTATCAATTTTATTTATTTACTTAATTATTTATTTTTCGAGACAGAGTTTCTCTGTAGCTTTGAAGCCTGTCCTGGAACTAGCTCTTATAGACCAGGCTGGCCTTGAACTCATAGGGATCCATCTGCCTCTGCCTCTTGAGTGCTGAGATTAAAGGTGTGCACCACCACAGCCTAAAAGTGTACCTTTCTAAACTTTAAATTGTCCCTTAAGATTTTCTGCAACAAAGCCATTAACAAAAACACCGTAAGTTTACTAACAGTGTACATCTCGACATTCTTTCTAAGGGTGGTGGTTGAATCATTAACCTGCTTCAGCAGCAACGCTTGGAAAAAGGCAATCACTATAATCCTAAGTACTGGTGACGCTGCCCAGTGAGGGGCTAAAACCCCTTACCGTTTTCCTACAATTTATAGATTATGAGGGATGGTGATCCCGAGGGCAATAAGCAGAGCTATGCTCAATAACAGCATGAGATCCTTGGGAAACAGTCTCTGGGGCTCTGCCTTTCCAAGGCTCACCCACCATGGTTACGCTAGCAAAAAAGCAGTTTCCCTGAGTTCCAAACATGGCTCCCAATAATAAACAATCCCAGAGCAGCAAATAAAAAGAAGGGTCACACACACACACAGAACATGGCTCACTGATATCTCCCAACATCAGTGGTACCAATTCCCCAGTAAAAAAAAATCAGAATAGATGCAAAAACAAGATCCATCCTTCTACTGCCTCCAAGAAACACATCCACATCACGGTAAAAGAACGGAAAAAATTATCCCAAGCAAATAGACCTGAGATTCAAGCTCATGTAGCCATTTTAATATCTGACAAAGTACACTTCAAACTAAAACTAATCAGAAAAGATAGAGAAGGACACTTCATACTCATCAAAGGAAAAATTCAAGAGAACATTGAATTCTTATTATCTAGGCACCAAACACAAGGAAACTTAAGTTCCTAAAAGTAATGCTTAAATAACATAGTGACCCTCACACAGTGACTTCAATATCCCACTCTTGCCAAAAGACAGGTCATTCAGACAAAAACTAATCAGAGAAATGCTGAAGCTGACTGTCATTATAAACCAAATAGACCTAACGGATGTTTCGAGTACATTTTACCCAAACACCTTTTTCTCATCGGCTCATGGAAATTTCCCCAAAACTGACCACATATCTGAATACAAAGCAAGTCTCAACAGATGATAGATAACTGAAATTATACTGCATCCTGTCTGACAGCCATGGACTAAAGCTAGATATCAATAACAAAAGCGACACAAAGCTCACAAACCCATGAAAACTGAATAAATCTCTAATGAACAAAAAATGGGTCAAGAGAGAAACGAAAGACTTCCTACAACTGAATGAAAATGAATACACAGTGCACCCAAACTGATGGGACACAATGAGATAAGTTCATAGCACTAAGTGTTTTTTTTTTCTTAAAAAAAAACAAAACTAGAGAGAGCTCATACTCGTAATATAACAGTATAATGAAATCTCTAGAATGAAAAGAAATCATATGCAAACGGAGAAGGTGGCAAGAAATAACCAAACTGAGGACTGAAATAAATAAAATAGAAATAAACAGACAAAAACAATACAAATAATCAATGAAACAAAGAGTTGCCTCTTTGAGAAAATCTGTAAGATTGACAAACCTTATCCAAATAAACTAAAATATACAAAATCAGAAATGAAAAAGGGGACATAACAACAGACACTAAGGAAATCCAGAGAATCATATGGACATCCTTTGAAAACCTATACTCCACCAAATTGGGAAATCTAAAAGGAATGGAAAATTTTCTAGGTATATACTACTTATCAAAATTAAATCAAGATCAGATAAGCAATTATAACAGATCTATAACTATAGATAGGAGTTTCTGTCCTGCACAGTCCCACAACCATTCAGTCCCAAATAAATACGAAGAGGCTTATATTAATTATAAACTCATTGCTCAGGCTTATTACTAACTAGCTCTTACAACTTAAATTAACCCATAATTCTCATCCATGTTTAGTCACGTGGCTTGGTACCTTTTCTCAGTGAGGCATTCTCATCTTGCTTCCTCTGAGTCTAACTTGAGACTATGTCTCTTTCTTTCCTCTTTCCAGAATTCTTTTAGTCTGGTCACCCTGCCTATACTTCCTGCCTGGCTACTGGCCAATCAGCATTTTACTAAACCATTACGAGTGACAAATCTTTACAATGTACAAGAGATTTATACTACAGCATATAACCCCTAGAGAAACAGAAGTTGTAATTGAAAGCCCCCACAAGCAAAAAAAAAAAAAAACCCAAGACATTAAGATTACACTCCTAAAACTAGCTACCAAGGTCTATTCCCTTATTTGGTCATTTCCTCTTCCTGAGGCTGACCACCAAGGGTTAGCTATCAAAGTACTGAAGTCAAGCAATCAAAAGCCCCCTTTTGGCTAACAAAATTAACATGCCCAATCAAAACAAACCAACTCATCCTAAGGTGGGTTTCCTTTTTTCCTTTAATAAACAGTTATCTACCTACGGGTCACATCTATGTACTTTTGGGGCAAATATTCCTTTCTCTTTCCCTTGCTCCTTTTCTCTTCTCTCCAGTCCTCTATACCCTGTCTCTGTCTCTGTTCCCTGCCCTTTGTCCCGCCTGGGCAAATAAATATCCTTGGTTTGGTGTGTGCTTGTGCCGACTCAATCCTTTGAGGAGCAGCATACAAAATTGTATCACAAAAATCAGTAACTCTCCTATACACAAATGACAAACAGACGGAGAACGATATCAGGGAAACAATACCTTTCACAGTAGCTGTGAATAACACAAAACATCTTGGGGTAACTAACCAAGCAAGTGAAAGACCTATATGATAAAAAAAAAAAAACTTTAAGGCACTGAAGAAAGAAATTGAATAAAATATCAGAAGATGGAAAGATTTCTCGTGTTCACGAATCACTAGGATTAATATATTGAAAATGACCATTCTACCAAAAGCAATCTACAGATTCAATGCAATCCTCATGAAAATTTCAGCACAATTTTTCACAGACCTTGAAAGGACAATTTTTAGCTTCATAAGCAAACACTAAAGTCTAAGATGGCTAAAATAATCCTGAACGATGATTAAAAGAAAAAAAACAACCAAACTTCAGGATGTAGCACTATCTCTGATTAGAATTTGTACTACAGACGTATAGTAATAAAAACAGAATTGTAATTAGGTCGGGTGGTGGTAGAGCACACCTTTAACACCTGCACTCAGGAGGCAGAGGCAGGTGGATCTCTGTCAGTTCAAGGCCAGCTTGGCTACAAGAGCTAGTTCCAGGACAGGTTCCGAAGCTACAGAGAAACCCTGTCTCGAAACAAACAAACAAACAAACAAAACCCGCATTGTATTGTCACAAAAAATAGACACATTGATCAACAGAATCAAATTGAAGACCCAGACATAAATCCACACTTCTATGGCCAAAAACTATACGCTGGGGAAAAAGAAAACTTCTTCAATAAGTGGTGCTGGCATAACTGGATGTCAGCATGTAAAGGAATCCAAATAGACCCATATATATCATCCTGCACAAAACTCAACTCCAAATGGATCAAAGACCTAAACATACAGTCAGACACACTAAGCCTGCTAGAAGAACATGTGGCAATATACTCCAACTCATCGCCACAGGAAAGAACTGTCTGAGCAGACCACCATTAGCACAGGCACTAAGATCAACAAGTAATAAACCGAACCTCATGAAACTGAGAAGCTTCTGTGAGGCAAAGGACACCACAAGGAACAAAGCAGCGGTCTACAGAATGGGAAAAGATTTTATCAACTCCACATCTGATGGAGAACTAATATCCAAAATACATAAACAACTACATATCAAGACAATAAGTAACCCAATTAAAGTCTGGAGTACAGAGCTTAACAGAATTCTATAAAGAAGAAACTCCAATGGCTGAGAGACACTTAAAGAAATGTTTAACTTTATTAGGCATCAAGGAAACACACAAATCAAAACTATTCTCAGATTTCTTATTACCACAGTCAGAAAGGCCAAGATCAGTAATACCAGTTCTGCTCGTGAGGATGTGGGATAAGGGGAACACTTATTAACACTTATGGGAGTGAAAACTACTGCAGCTGCTATGAGAATCAGTGTGCTGGTTCCTCACAAGGCAGAAAAGAATCCACGTCAAGATTCAACAGTAACACTTTGTGCCATGCTCAGCCGTCAGGAGAGAAGCTTCCTTCTGCAACAGAAGGGAACAAATACAGAGACCCACAGCCAGATATTATGCAGGGACTTGGAATACTCAGCCCCGATGGGATGTCTTCATCAAATCCCTTCCCTCAGAGCTCATGGAACCCTGTAGAAGAAGAGGGGAAAAGAGTGTAAGAGCCAGAAGGCATGGACGACACCAAGAAACCGGAGTCCTCTAATCAGCTTGAACAAAGCTCGTATGAACTCACAGAGACTGAGCAGCTTGTGCAAGGCCTGCACAAGTCTGCACCAGGTCCTCTGTGTATATATTATGACTTCCAGTTTAGTGTGTTTATGAGATCCCTGAGTATGCAAATGAGTGGGCTTCTGAGGGCTGTGCCATTTCTTGGGCTCTTTACGTTCTGTTTGTCTTTTTCCAACTGTAATGTGCTAGTGTTTTATTTTATTTTATTATCCCTTAGAAGGCTGTTTATTTTCTTTTTCTTTCTTTCTTTTCTTTTTTCTTTTTGGTTTTTCAAGACAGCATTTCTTCGTGTATCTAAAGCTGTCCTAGAACTCACTCAGCAGACCAGGCTGGCCTTGAACTCACAGAGACATGCCTGTCTTTTGTTTTCTAATGAGACACAGAAAAGGGTGGATCTGGTTGGGAGAAGAGGTAGAGGGTAAGTAGAAGGAGCAGCAGGAGGGGAAATTTGTAAGAAAAAAATCCATTTTCAATAAAAAGATAAAAAAAATCATATACTCAAGAGAAATGCATACTGGTAACACACACACCTGTAATCCCAACAGTCAGGAGGCAGCAGCAAGTGGATCTCTACATTCAAGGCCAGATTGGTCTACAATGTAAGTTTCAGGACAGCCAGAGCTGCACAAAGAAACCCTGTCCCCAAATAAATAAATAGATACTCCAAAAAAAAAAAAAAAAAGAAGGAAAAAAGAAAAAAAAAGAGAAACCAGAGAGAGAGAGATACACATATATGTTCTCACTAAAAGTTAGAAGTAGTCACCATGGCACTATTTATTTTGCTCCCAATCAGAAAGAAGCAACTCAAATGTTCATATGCTGATTAATGGATAAATAAACCGTGGCACGTGGCATATCAAATACAATGGCATATTTTCTTAGCAGTGAAAGGACTTACGGCACCAACGCAAGCATGAATGGACCTTGCAAACATCATCCTTAGTGGGAGCAGCCAGGCATCATGCTACGGTTCCATCAGTAGTTGCCTAGGGCTGGGGTGTGGGAAAGAACCGGAAAGAAGGAAGATTATTTTAGTTACTCCAGGTGCTACGGCCAAATACTTGACAGAAACAGTTTAAGCAAGGATTTAATTTGACTCATGGTTTCAGAAGATTCAGTTCATGATGTCTTGGACCTGCGCACTAGAAGCAAATGACACAGAGGGGGGAACACGTGGTTGGGGAGCTTCAGCTTGGTATGGATGCAAATCAGAGAAAGACACAAAGGGGGCTAGAGGCGGGGTACCCTCAAGGACCTCCTACCTCTTCCAGCTGGGTCCCTTCATCTAAAGGTTCCAGAACCTCTGAAACATGTCAGATATCTGCCTACAGATCTTACCTTCCGCTTGGATGGGCTGGGACCTCAATTCTCTCTCACTCTACCTCTCAGTTGCGCGAGCCAAAACTCAATCTCGCCTGATTCATTTCTCTCTCACTCCACATTCCACGGGAGTGAAAAAGTATCATCCGATCAGGAAACTCTGTTGGCTCTATTTTAAAAGTATACCCACAATTTGGTCTCTTCCGGTAGCCTCCCTCGTTGCCGTGGTGTAAGTCGCCATCAGCTCTAACACACACAGTCAGACAGAATCTTACATATAGACTCCTGCTGCTAACGTAAGTGTTCTTGGGACTACCCTTTTGTTTTTGTTTTTTTGAGACAGGTTTCTCTGTAGCTTTGGAGCCCGTCCTGGAACTAGCTCTTGTAGACCAGGCTGGCCTTGAACTCACAGAGATCCACCTGCCTCTGCTTCCCAGTGCTGGGATTAAAGGCGTGCGCCACCACTGTTTGGCGGGACTACTCTTAACAAGGAATTATCCCTTAAAGTGTTCCATGTTACTTTTCTGTTCAAAACCCTGTGCTGGTCCATTTTACTTACAGTAAGCCCATGGTATCTACAAAACCTCACAGGTTCACCCGATTGACAGTTTCCCCACCCTCCCGGGTCACAGGACCCACCACCATCACTTTTTTGTCCTTCCTAGCTTGACAATGAGGTTTATCAATCCTCACACTCTGGAATCCTCCCCAGGGCACTCTCACTGTTTACACTTCTGTTCAAACTTCCTCTTCACACTGGCCTGTCCTGACTACTGTGCTACAGCCTCCAAGCCTCCATTTAGATGGCTACCTTCTCCACCTAGGTCACCTATGGCCTTAAGATTCACAACAGACCAACAGACGTTTGCTATTAGGTTGATTTGCATGCCCTCCATCAGCATTCCCTCTACCGAGGAGGGGGATCTTTGCTTCCCTCACTGACAGTTTCCCAATGGGTAGAAAACTGAAGACCCCGAAAGATTAGACATGGCTCAATGTAGTAAGTCAAAGGCGGCCGAGCAGCAATTTAAACCCCAAAACAAATTCTACATTTTCCTCCTTGGGCAAAATTCTCTTGGTGGTTTAGCCTGTGAGTTAAAGAGAGGGCGGGAGGGAAGGAGGGAGGGAGGGAAGGAGGGAGGAGATTTGTTGTTTTTGTTTTTGGACTAGGTCTCTCTAAGCAGCCCTGGCTGTCTGGGAACTCACTCTGTATACCAGATTGACCTCGAAGTCCGAGATCCACCTGCCTCTGCCTCCCTAGTGCTGGGATTAAAGACAAGAGTCACCACACCTGGCTTTAAAGATTTATTTTCAAGCGTATCAGTGTTTTGACAGTTGTGAGCCAGCACGTGGACGCTGGGAGCCCAATCTAGGTCCCCCACAAGAGCACTAAGTGCTCATAACTGCTGAGTCATTGTTCCAGCCGTAAACAGAAATATTGACAGGAAGTTGAATGCTTCTCAAAAATACCCCTAGGATACCCACCGGAGCTGAGTAAGGGCCTCCAATTCTGCTCCGTTTTCATGCAGTAGGCTTAGCTTTATTGATGTTTATTTGGGGCTGGGTTTCACTAAGTAGCCCTGGCCATGCTGGAAATTGCTAGGTACTTCAAGCTGACCTTGAACTCCAGAGATATGCCTGTCCCATGGCTGGAATTATAATGGCATGGGCCATCATGGCTGGTCTAGCTTTAGCAGTTTAATACCTTGCCCCAGAAGCTGTCTGTCATCTCTCAAGCCCTGTTCAGGAGAGCATCCCCTGGCTTTCCAAGAAGTCGTTTTTCAAAAGTTAGCTCTTCCTGGAATAATTCTTCCTGACCTCCAGCATGTCCCCCACACCAACTACCCTCTCATTCTGCAGGACCATAGAAAGCAGCCCAAACACATGGTCAGCTGTATCCCAATCATGCGCCCGCGAGCCCTGCTACTGTAAAAGTAGGGCAGAAACTTCAAAAGAAATATTTTAAAACACCAAAATTAATTAACTGACAAATTAACAGAATTTCAAATAAAGACAGGAATCTTGGCACTCCTGCTCGGGCTGGGGACTCTCAGGGGAGTCGCTCACGACATCACACTTGCTCCCCAAATCCGCCTCTCCCTGCTCCTCTGCACGATTTGTCAGGAGTAGCTGAGACTGGAATCCACACTTCCGCAAAAGATAGGGGTCCAGGAGGCTCCTAGAGCCCGTGTGTGTGGGTGTGCGTTACACAAGCGAGCACACACACACCTCCAAGTCTCCTCTCTGTTTAAGTCCAGGCTCAGTTAAGTTCAGACCCTGGACTTTGCTCGGGCCCACCTGGAGGCCGGGAAAATAGAAGCTCAAGATTTCCTCTCACGCTATGCAGGTGAACACTACACGTGGGCAGCCGCTCCCTGAGGGGCTGCAGAGTCCGGAGCTACGTCATCGGACCCCCAAAGCCGGCGCAGGACCCTCCCGGCCACGAGGCTGCAATGGAGGAGGTAAGCCCAGCCCAGCCGACCTCCAAGAGGGCAGGGGCGTGGCCGAGGAAGGGGCATCGCCTCCGCGTCACGCCCCTCCAACGCCTTGACCAATAGCCGCACGCTCCGAGCCTCAGCCCCGCCCCCACGCCGCCGCCGGCCCGCGGCCCCGCCCGGCCCGGTCATAATTAGGCAGCGGGGCTGGGACCGCCGCGTCAGCGCGCGTCGCGAACCAATCGCGGGCGCTTCCCGGAGGCCGCGTCACAAGCCGAGCAGCCAAACAGAAAAGTTTAATAAACAGCGGACGGAGGGCCGGCGGCGGCGGCGGCGGTGGCGGCTGGCCGGAGCGAGTGGGGGTTCGGCGGCCTCACCTGTCCTCAGTCGGTGGCGGCGAGAGGCGGCGGCGGCGGCGCGTCCGGTGGAGAGGGCCGCCCGCCAGGTGAGGAGCGCGGGCCGTGGCGGGCGCAGCCTCCGGGCGGCCTGGGAGCCGGAAGCGGCGGGCGGCGCAGCAGGTGGCCCCGCAGCGGCGAGCGGAGGGCGCGGTCCCGGCGGGGCGCGGTCCCGGACTCCCCCGGGCGCGCGCTGGGGTCGTGGTTTGCGCTCCTGGGGCCGGTTCGGAGCAGCTGAGGCCGGCCGAGCTGTGTCTCCGCGACGTCCCTTTTGTCGTCTGAGACTGGGGAAGACTCGGTTGGAGTCTGCTCGCTGCCAGTCTCTGCCCCTCTGAGAGCGTTTTCAAGTTTCTCACCGTTGGGTGCGTAGACGAGCTCCGCGGTGTGTGGTGTCTGAAGTCAATTTAACTCTATCAAAGCTCCGTGATTTGCTTTCAGCCGCCAGAGTTGTCACCCGTGTGCGGAGCTGGGGCCTCGGGGTCACCTCCAAGCCGTGCATACTCGGTCGTCAGCACCTGGTGGCTCCGAAAAAAAAGCGAAATTAAACGCCACTTTGAAACCAGATTCGAAATTTATCTTTTTTCCTAATGTAAAATGCCACGTAGGCTTTTGAGATTACTTATGTAGTATTTTATGGTAGTTGTTGTTTTATGTATTGTCTCCAGGCCTACCAGGACATTATTTTTGTAAGCCATGAACATTTAGATGTACGAAAGGATTTTAAAAGAAAATTTAGGGTAACCTGTTTTGTAAGTGGGGTAAGGTAGGAAAAATTCGGGTTTGTTTGTTTTTTTTTATTTTGACTGCAGCCATTCTTTCCTGTGTTAACGTCAAAACTCACTAGTTTTTAAGTCTGTGCAGTTTATTATATGTGAGTTATATCGCAGTTTTAAAAGTAATAAGGTTAATAGCCAGGGGAGTACATAACACGTGAAAAATTCCAGACCAAAGCAAGAACCTAGAACATTACCCAGACTTGTATGTCCTCATGAGTTTCTTATCTGTCCAACCCCAGTTTACTGTTTCTGTGTGAGGTAAACATTCTAGACTTGTGGATTTTGTTTATCATTCTCTGTTTTTTTTTAATAGTTTTGTCACATGATCATCTCCCAACCATGTCATTTTAGTGCCCTTTTCCCTTTGAACTTTGGGCAGATAGTATATGGTTGTGGTTCATGTTTCATTGCTTTTTAATAACGTGTTCATCTTTAACCCCGGTGTTGCGATAGTGTTTCTTGTTTTGCTTTTAACAAATGTACTCTGCGAACTTTCCTTCTTGCAGCTGTCCTTGCACAAGCTGTCTCATCTAAAGTAAATACTGTCGCTCATGGGCGAAGTTTTAGGCAATCAGGAATAAAATAGAAGTCAAGTGAATGAAAACATTGAGGTTCTGCTTCCTTTAATCAGTAAGACTCTTTGTCATTGTGATTGGTTCCTGGTTATATTTGCACGGGGAGCTAAGATTCCTGTTAATCTCTTTACACTGAAGTCCTTCAAACAGATTGTGGAAAGTCTGGCACTGTTTGGTTCCCTTTCAGTGCAAAAAGAGCAAGTTGGAGAAAACCCTTGTTGTTTTGTAAAGCCACCCTTTCTCCTCCCCTCCGCACAGCCCTTGGCAGATTACTGAGGAATCTTCATGGCCTTAAAACACTCTTGCAAAAGAAACGTACTAAGCTTTCTCTACCTAGTTGGCACAGGCTTTGGCGGAAGGGAGCTTCTGTCAGAGGGCAGAGAAACATTAGGACCCCCGTGTCACTGCAGCTTTTGAGAAGGATGTGTGCCTCTGCGGTAGATATTTCAAGACTTGTCAACCACATGCTGAAGTATTTTTTAGGGATTTTTAAAAAATGTCACATTCTTAATACTCCAGACAAATTATGGAGCAATATTTTCTTAATTTCTCAAACATGGTGTGTGTGTGTAAGTAAGATAACTGTGTAGCTTTAAAGGACTTGTTGAAGGCATGACAGAACAGCTTTTTTATTTTTTGTATTTTTAGACAGGGTCTCACTGTGTGGCCTAGACCTGTTTATGTAGACCAGGCTGGCCTGGAACTCAGAGAGATTCCCCCAGTCACTGCCTCCAGTGCTAGGATTAAAGGCATATGCCACCACATCGAACTGAAAGGAGCATTTTTAATGTTTGTAGCTTGCAAACATTTTGTTTTTATAGGCTATAGACTCTGCTTTTAAAAAATAGCTTTGTATTTCATTATAATGGCAGTGGTGGAGAGTTTGGGGATTTCCCGCACAGTTTGAAAATGAATAGGAAGGGCAGAAAAACCACTCACGGTACTAACTCATAAAAGCATTGTTAATTAACATTTTGTCAAGCATACCTTTGGCCTTTGTATTTTGTATCTCCTAAGTTATTACATGTTTCTTTAGAGTTCATTCTAGGTACAGACGCTGAGTCAGAGCATATGAACATTTTAAAGTCTTGATAACTGTTGCCCAATCTTTCTTACAACTTTTACCAAAGTGTGTGTGTGCGTTAATATGCCACTGAAGTCCCAGCCACTCTAGAGAACGAGGCAGGATTGTGTGAGCATTTCAAGAGTTCTAAATGTAGATAGGCTGGCCCTGCTTTCAAAACTTACTCCAAATGTGATGTCTCAACTCCTTTGTTTTATAGAAGATGATAACAGTAGTCATCTAATTATTACCCTTTTTTCAGGTTTTGATCCCTATAGTCTGTCTTCTCTGGCTGCTCCGGGGGCAAGATTATATGGCCATTTAAATATGTTTATTAAAAAAAAACTGTGAGTGTGGCCATGTGTGTGTGGAGGTCAGAGGACAGATTGGAGAGTCATTTCTCCCCTTTCATGTTTACATGGGTTCTTGGAATCTAACTCAGGTCATCAGGCTTGTACAGCAAGAACTTTTACCCACTTGAGCCGACTTGCCAGTCCTGAATGCGTTTATAGATTAGAGTACTCCCAGGCCCAAAGTCCTTCAGTGACTCTTTAATCCTTGAGATAAAATTCAGACTCAGTTTTACTGTGTTTTATATACAGTGGTTGTGCCAGTGCAGATTTCACATCAGAGTCATGATAAGTAATTTAAAATTTTCTCATATCACAAGAGACTTATCTTAAATAAAAATATATTTCACAAGGTGGGCAGTGCTGGTGCACGCCTTTAATCCCAGCACTCGGGAGGCAGAGGAAGGTGGGTCTCTTTGAGTTCGAGGCCAGCCTGATCAACAGATTGACCTCCAGGACAGCTAAGTCTGATCCACAGAAAAACCCAGTCTCAAAAAGACAATATAGGGCTGGAGAGATGGCTCAGTGGTTAAGAGCATTGCCTGCTCTTCCAAAGGTCCTGAGTTCAATTCCCAGCAACCACATGGTGGCTCACAACCATCTGTAATGAGGTCTGGTTCCCTCTTCTGGCCTTCAGGCAGGCATACAGACAGAATGTTGTATACATAATAAATAAATAAACATTTTTTTAAAAGCCAATATATATATAGTGCTCTCAGTGGTGACTGTGAGAGATTCTTTGTAGGATAGTTTGTGCTTTCAGAGGTTGTGTGCATCATTCACTTGTAGTGTGTCCTATTCTGGTTGGCCATGATTCAGGGTTTATACTTGTAGGATCTTTCCTATGGAGCCTTTTATCTATCTCGGATAGCAGCCTTTTGCTCTGTTGCAAATATTTTTCCTGGCTCTTCATTTGCCTCGTATTTGCTTACAGGCCATCCTCCTGTCTCTTCTTTCCCAACCTGTTTACCTCCTTGAATTTTTAAAATATCTTGGTTAATATAGTTTAAAGATTTGTTTAAAAATTGTGTGTGTTGTGTGTGTGCGCGGGTGTACGCGCACACGTACTCACATGCCCACACACACGCGCATGGAGCACCGGTCCCTTGGGAGTCCAGGAATGGATGTTGGATCCCCTGGCGCTGGAGTTACAGTTGGTTGTAAGCTCTCTGATGTGGGTGTTGGGATCTCAGTTATTACCGTGTATATGATATAGGTGGTAGGTGAATGCTTGCATGCATGGAACAAAACATGGAAGTCAGAATATAACTTCGGATTCAGGCTATCAGGCTTGCATAGCAAGCCGTTTCCCACTGAGCCATCTTGCCAGCACATCAGTTATATTTTATAACTTTACACTGCTTTTGTATTTATAGTAGTCTCCTACCAAGATAACTTTTACTTCTCTTCCAATATTTAGTTTTATTATTGTTGTTTAATTGTGTGTGGGGGGGCAGTGTGTACATGAGTGCTAGAGGCTTTGCCTTCCCCTGGAGCTGGAGTTAAAGGTGGGTGTGGATGCTGGAAACTTACATTCTATAAGTTCAGCACTGACTCTCAATTTCTCAGTCATCTCTCCAGCATCTCTCTTAGTTCTTTAAAGTTTCATTTTTTTCCATTATCTGTATTTCTGTGTTCCTCTGAGATGTGTTTTAACATAAATGTAAATTGAAATAACTAGATGATTGAGCAGTTATTAGAATTCTATCAAAAATATTACTGGGGTCAGGCCCAAGTCTGGTGACCTGAGTTCATCATCAGGTAGAAGGAAAGAACTGATGTCAGAGGTGTTCTCTGGCCTCCAGACATACCTGTGGCACGTGCACCCTCCATCCTCACATCATCGTGTATACTTTTGCATACAAACACTAAATAAATTTAAATTTACC